CTTGTTCATTCATAAGGTGGTTCTCCATGGGCAAGAAATGTGCTTGTGGTTCTTCAGAGTGGATTTTCACAGGGGCATGCCAGGGGTAACCATGCATAATGCCATGGTGATGCCTCATTCACCTCACCCCGACGTGAGGTCATGCTGATTGCTCACTGCGTGGGGTGCTACCCCAGCCCGGGACCAAGGGGTTCCTCCATGGCATAGCTGCGTCACTGAAGGACAGCTGAGCACAGGACTAGCTAACTCTGCTTGGAGATCTAGAGCTCCCAGGTTGCTTACACCTACTCTTACTTCCAAGGTAAATCACTTTGCCCTTAAAACTGGAAGGACTTTTGGAAAAATATCATGTGGGTAATGGTAGATTTTATTAGAAAGTGAAATGCCATTCCCCACATATCCCCTCATGGCATGATTGTTTCAAACTTCTCGACTTTTTGTTTTCATAGTAATTATTATTTCCAACTACTTTAATTCATTTTTTCCTTTTAGAATTTGTTTTTCTACAGCGTATATATTATTTAATTTTGCTCATTTTCCTTGATTGGGTTAGTTTTTCTGAAAAGAAGATATCTGAAGAATAATTGAATGAATGTTTTCTCTTTGTTCTACTGGCACAAGACAGCATTTTTTTTTCTCACAGAAGTATTTTTACAATTCGAGCTGGAGAGTTGTTTGCTTCTTGATGAATGAGCCAAATGCAGATAGAACCCTGTGTACCTAATTTAAACTGACCTAGCATAGATCAACAAAATGTAAATGTATAGAAGCAGGAGCCAGATGTCCCATGAATGCTAAGAGTTATTCCCTGCTTCTGGCTGCCTGTGTGCCCTGCGATTCTGAGCTCTCCTACTACCATGTGAAGTCCCTGTAGCCTTGGCACCTCTGCCATTGAGACCCAGTGCAGCAGCTATTAAACATCTCAGGGTTCCACAGAAGGGAAAGAAAAAGAACAGAGAAAAATCTGCTGAGACAGAATATTTATGGCTGTTCTAAAAAGGAAAACTTTTCTTGGAGTAAAGTGTTGCCACATTGGAAGAGATGCCTGTGGAGTCAGCTAATGCTCTGGGAGTGCTCATCAACCATCTGTTCATTTACTGCTAAGTGTCTGTGGGAGACAGGTCTGCACGGTGCCTGGGACAGGTTGGCTCAGGAAATGTGCGTGCAGCAAGGTTTTTATATCACAGGAAAGAAGCAAGCAGCCCAGCAGCACTAACGGGCAAAACACGGTCTGCATCGTCAGAGAGACAAGCGATGTGGAGCGCGGGTGACCAAACATCGCTTCACGTGGAAAGGTCTCGTCTGCGAGTTACGTTCCTCCCCTCAGCTTTAATTCACATAGTCACTTGCAGAAATCTTAAGTGTTCCTGGGCTTCAGTTTAATTGTACATACGCTTCTTCCCTAAAGTCAAACCCGGTTAAGGGTTCTGTGCTCTGGGAACACCTGTATCAGTTACTCGTGACTTTACAGCGTCTTCAGAACTTTTCCCAAGATCAATACTCAATAGGGAGGAAATTGCTTTCTGCAGTGGCTGCAAAAGAGTAATGGGAAGGTAAATTCAGCCAGAAAACACATACACATTGTCAGCCTACAACCAAAGGGTGATTTCCTTATTATTGACCATGTACAGACCATGGTACCATATGTACCATGTAAAATTCAGGATTTTTACTGCAAAAATGAAACAAATCAGGGTGCTATCTTGTAAATGATATAAATCCTATTTGAGAAGTTGCTTTTAGCAAATGTTTAACAATAAATACAGGCAGGTAAGGTATGTGAATTCTGTAAGAATATTTTATAATAAAAACTTAAATGTGCATATAGAAGGAAATACATAAAATATGTGTGATTTGATTTGTTTTTTTGTTATAGGATATCTTCATCAAAAAGGAGAAGTACAGTAGACTGAAGCTGGAATTTGCCTTGGTTTGAAAAAGGAAAAAAGAGAGAGAGAAATTTTTTTTCCAAATGGTTTTTCATCCAGAATCTGTTTTCTTTTACCCTTGCTAGGTTTTCTATTACCCATGCTCTGTAGTGAAGTTAAAATAGAAAATGTCACAGCTCAGATTTGCAGGGTGCTGGTCGAAAGCTCATTTTGAAAGGTAGTAAATAAAGAAAAAAGTCAGAATTTACTTTTTAACATCTCTTTACAAGAAAAAGCACTCACTTTTTAAAAGGATGTGGCTGTAACTGTACATGGGGTTTTTTAATAAAACAATAAAACTTCTATAAAAGGCGATGGCCACTCACTGCTGTACAATTTAAGTGGTCTATCTTTAAAAATCATTATATTCTCAAAGCTAGCTTTGGAGAATCATCTGACATTACCTATTTTGTTTTTACATACCCGCATTTTGCATTATACTGTAGGCATTGACTATAATATCTTTCTGCTAGAATCTACCGTAGTTGTGGTGTTTGCTGTCTGACTGAAGTCAGTAATCTTGCTCTCCTTTCCAACAACCAATTCCTACAAATACTACTGCCTACAGCAGCAGTGTTAATCAAGATTCATTTAAAATGAATAGAAAGCAGCAGGATGCCACAGCTTGCCCTGGGAAGTATTACTAGTCAGGATGGCTGTCAGGCAAGTGGGTGAGCAGAAAGCCACTAGTGGGAGAAATAGACCTTCATTAAGTATTTTGGGTAGGTCTGCTTGCGAAGGCGACTTTTCTAATTTTGCGTTTCAAACATGACTCTGTGTGTTTGGGGGGGCAATGTTTGTATATTTATATATATATATTTATGTTTATGTGTGTGTGCATATTTATATATGTATGTTCTTAACCATTTGAGGTTTTATAAAAGTTGGTCACTAGGTGTTGGGGAGTTTGGCAGGCAGAAGAGGAAAATATGGAGTGGGATGGGGAGGTAATAAGAGCTTATCTAGCACTGGCACCTGGTGTGAGTTGATTAGAAGGTCAAGTGATCATAGCACAATATTAGTACTCTGCAGAACCTGAAAGCTGTGCTTTTTGGAGAACAGAAATTCTGCCTATAAAGCAACATTGGGTTTGTGCCAGTCTGCCAAGGTGGCCCCTCTCCTTGGTCAGGCAGGACTCCCATATCGCTAGTGGACAGGATATGAAACAGCACTGGAAACTCAAGGGAAAATGCGGTATTTTGGAGGGAGGTGAAATGAAGTGAAAGGCCACCTCTTCCCATGGCCGGCTGTAGATCTGGCTGCAGGAGCCTGACACTGCTGAGCATGCACATTACTGAGATGCACTCTTCAAATGAGCGTCCAATAACTTCTACGGCATCTTGGAAAGTTATTTTGCTTAACACAATTTCATGCTGTGTGAATAAATACTGCCTTTTATCTGAGTGTAGATGTTGGGATTTGCATTTTGAAGTCAGTGACCAAAGCCTCTGTTCCTAATTTAATTCTGAGTTTTTCTTGTCCGGATGAATACTGGAATTTCTGCAGAAAAAAAAAATCTAAAGTTTTATTTGATGTATATGTGATTTTAAAAATTTGATTAATAGACAACATATGTAATAAAGTTGTTATATTTTTACACAATAGTAAAAACTTCAAGATATGTTCAGCAAAACTTATTTTTATGTAGAAAAATGATGATAGACAGTAAATAAATAGGAAAATAATCTATTTCAATTTGACATGGAGTAATTTTTGCTGATACTAGGTTTTGGAAGATACCATTGGGAAGGGAGTGTTAACCCTACCAATATTCTTCAAATACCAAATCAGTGTAACAAATTGGTTTGAGATATCTGTCAGCAGACTCCTTTGCAGGTGCAAAGTCTTCTACTTAGCTTTCAGAGGAAAAATATTTTTTAACTTCCACACTTATTAGCCATACAGAATAATAGCAGGTAAGAAATAGATGGCTGAATTCGTGCCATCTGAGGATTTATTTAACAAATTTTCATTACAGAATCTTTAATACTGGAGATGACGTAGAAGCCAGACCTATACTGTATATCTGTTATTCTGTCTTGAGTCTGCAATTAGAAAGAAATGTCTATTTGTTAATTCAGCAGTTTCTATCCAGACACTGTACAGAGACAGTGAACATAAGCCCATCCAGAATGACTTTTCATGATATGTGTGTTTAAAAGCACTATCAGCTTATATATCAGAGTTGCAAAACAGTATTTCTTGGTAGAAGAGTTGAGTGCTTTTTCATTCCAAGATTTTTTCAGTCAAAATGAATTAGATGTCATGGCAAAAAAAGCCCTCTTAATCACAGAATTCTAGGAACCTTAAATGCTATGTTCAGCTATAATTCCTGTTGTGATTTATCTGTAGAAAGATACTTTCCCTAGAGCTCTCATGATTTATTTTTCTTTGCTCACTTTAGAAGAAGAAATAGTTAAGTTGATACTCTTAACTCTGAAATGAGGAGCCTTACTCTTCAGCGTCTCAATTTAAAACCCATTTTTCGTTCTACAGAATGAACTCTGTCATTAGCTTTTTATATTACTTTGATAAATTTTCTTGTTTGTTTGTTTTTACTATTAAAATGTTATTTTATTCCAGGCATTCTTTCCAAAAATTATCTTGCATTGCTAGGTTTGGTGGGTGGCAGAATATTTTGAATTGCTTTTTCTTAATGTTACCACTGTGTTCGATACATCAATAAGAGATCATTTGGTATCTTATCCAGTGTCCATTAAAGCATTTTTTTTTAGTCCTTTTGTTTAGTTCTTTTAATTTCAACCTAAACCCATGCTGTTTGTAAAGAAAGGCAACGATCTCAATAGTTCCACTTGCATATATGTATATTTTTGTATATACATATATATATATTTGCATTTTTTTCTTAGAAATTCTACCTTGTGGGTTGTATTTTCACTCCTTCTGTGTATAGAATTTTCTTATATGTCAGTATATCTTCATACTGACATAGTGTCAGTATATCTTCAGAACTTCCCATCTTCTGAATGAAGATGGGAACACAGACTCCTTTAAGCCGCCACCTTTTATGCATCAGAAAAAGCTGCTAACGTTATTTTTTATTTATTTCAGGTTTCTTTTCTCCATGGAAAACTCCAAAACCTGTAAGTTCCCTTTCAAAATTATACTCTTTGAGTTCATATGATGACTCATTCTAAGCAAATTTATGTAGACGTTCTGTAGACCTTCATCTAACCCAGCACTGTCTCAAAAATGAGAAGTAATAAACAAGCAGTCTGGAGGAGAAGACAGCAGAAGACCACTACACAGCAGCCAGTCTATTTGGGAAATACCAATTTCTTCTCCTTGCAATGGCTAGCATAGACCTTTTCTGTTTTATGACTGTATTGAGTTCAACATCTCAAAAGTGATCATTATTCATTCTTACATTAGCAAATCTACAGTTGGAAATAGCCCCGCTTCAAGTGGGAGGTTGGGTTAGAAAACCTGCAGAGGTCCCTTCCAGCCAACCTTTTTTGGTGACTGCTATTCTATGATTTTAACATTTAACCCTGAGATATTAGCTTATGTCTCATTTTAAAAGTATTTATTTCCATTAAAAATGTTTTATCAGGTACGCTTCATTAACACAGTGACATGCTTGCACCTTCAAAAGCTAGAAAAGTTTAGCATCCTGCAAATGATGAATATGAGTTGTTAAAAGTCAACACTGATTCATTTTTAGAGTTTTAGTTGGTTTTGAAGATATGTGGAAATCTTCATCATATTTACGATTTGGAGGATATTGACTTGGATGAAAAAACCTTCTTTAGTTAGCCTTTCCGCAATGAAGTTGTGATGAAATTGTGAAGACTGTTAGCAATGACTGCATTTATTTTGTCAGTGCCATTTTAAGTCATTTTTAAAGTTGTCACAACATTCCCAGTGTAGAAAGAAATTGTAAGACATATTTTTCCTTTTTCTTTTTCTTTTTCTTTTGTCTACTTAGAGTGTAAAGCCCTCCAGGTAGTGCCTATCTCTCATGGGGGGTATGCAGGAAAACAAGGTCCTGACTCCGTCTAGAGCTTTCCAAAAGCAATATGAATAACAACAGCAGTATTTTGTAAGCTATTTTGTATAGCTTTCCAGTTTTCTTCTTTGGGCATTTTAATGCTTTATTTGGCAACTTCACAGCCTTTCATAATGAATGCAGCAATACTTTTTGTAGACTGTGAAATACAAATATTAATTAATTAAGCAGTTGATACAGTTCCATTAAACTGCACTGGTTTCAGTGTAAAATGCTAAAGGATGGATAGAATGAGTTGGCATAAATACTGTGACATAAGTTTGTTTATTATCATAAATAGCAGAACATCTGCAGCTTTCTATCTTTTAAGGGCTACCCTCTTCTCACCAGTTCAAGGTTCCTGCCTGTTCGGGAAATTCAACTTTTTTCCCTCAGTTAAAAGTTAATGCATTTATTTTGCAATGAGGGAATAGAGACACTTGTTAAAAATCAGATCCCAAGATCTTTCAGTGTCAGTGTTCTTTTTGTGTACATATCAACTGTATATATATCAGCATATTCCAGATGTTTTTCCATACTGTTCTGATATAGAAACATTTAGGTCATAATCAGGTAGCACTTGCTAATAATCAGACTCTAGAGAAACACCAGTTCTGAAGGAGGCAGTTCTTCGTACCCAAGGGAAAGGACTTTAAGCAAACCAGTGCTCAGAGAATAAGGTCACCCCAACAGTGTGTTGATGTACCTGCATGCAGAGTGACCACACACAACTTGACTATTTTGGAGGTCTAAGTGGTCTCAACGTGACAATGGGCAAATGATGAACCAGGTTAAGCTAGTGTGCATTCCTCTATCTGCCAGTCCATTATTTAAAGAAATAATGAGACACAAGTGATCTTGATGTGAATAAAAGATTGAAACTGGGTGTCGTCGGCACCTGACCAGCAGCCTATCTGCAGCGAGACTGTAAGGCCAACACCAGGAGATATAGCAAGTCTTCCTAGCACCGCAGCACAGCACCGCATGTGTGTGACAGGAAAGAAACATTGCTGATGGCCCAAACCCAGATTCCTTTTCTGCTTAGGTGAGTACTGGAAGGCACCACCACTGCCCCTTGCCTCACTGGCCACCTGGGGAGGAGCATCCACTGGTTTCCTTAGAGCAAAAAGAGGACTACCTTGACTGGAAGATGAGAAGAGAGGAGCTCCGCTTCACGGAGGAGAAGCTCAGAGATGGCGCATTCCATGTCTTGGTGTGCTCAGTATCCCCTACTGACCTGGGCTTCCAGAAACTTCATGTGATTTCTACATATATAGTGTACATGAAGAAATATTCTGTAATTAATATAACATCATCAGGGCAAACTGAGCTCAAGCAATATTATCAAGCACTCTTTACCCAACTTTATATTTAACACACTTCACTCAGTACCATTCTTACTCATCTGGAAAAGTGTCTTTAACTGTGACCTAGCTTTATGGTACCTTACTTTCCAAAACACTGCATAAATATTTAACTGGCTTGGGTTTGGGAGATATATTTCCCCTTTGTTTATGTAACTGCTTATGTTAACAGTATTCCCCACAGGTCAGAACATTATACTCAGTTTCTAACTTCACACTTTGAGATTTAGAGCTAACCAGCATGCAAGAATTAGACATATGGTACCCAGAAGGGCTTGAGCAATTGATCTCCAGTTTCTTGTCCTTCCAAAGGACAAGCCTTCCTGCCTTTTCAAAACCTGTTTAAATGCCTTAATTTTATTGAGTTTGACATTCTGAAAGAAGTAAACACTCTTATTTCTACTCTCCTCTCCAAGAAATAGGAAACATTTGCTTCTAGATAGAAAGGGCCCCATGTGTCTTTCTGCTTCATACTGTTAAGGCAGATAGTTTGGTTTTACTGACTTCTGCTCACTTACCAAAATACAGGAATTACAATGTACAATTCAATCACAATACTCAAGTGGCTCCCATTACTGTTTTCTATAATATGCTCATCATCATGATGCTGGACCTATCCAGTTCCCAGGTAGGAATATATGGGTTGAAGCCAGCTCAAGCCCACTGCTCTCTTTGAAATTCTTTTGTTAGGTTGTTGAGCTTTTATACTCTATGTTGGGCTGAGCCATGTATACACTACACTCATGCTCTAGCTAACTCAGGGAGATGGTCACATTCTTCTGATAAACTCAGGAAGAAATATTTACAGGAGTCGATCCACTCAACAGATACAGATCCCAAAACAAAGGTCATCCCCTACTCCTCTTTTGTGGAGATAGTCAGCTGTATGCGCAACAGCCGTAGTTCACATCCTACATTATTTCTGAGTTTTATGGGCACCTTACCTCTGTCTGTCTCCTGTGAGTCTCTTCAATTTTAGGGGTTTGTTGGCTGGACACCTAAAGAACACAGAGATCTGAAGGCTTTACAGACATTAGCTTTAGGAGAGGTCAGAGAGGGTAAGGAACTCTTCATTTCCTGGAATAAACATTTATTTAACTTAGCCTCTTCAAATGCATTTGCTATTGCAATGAACATTAGTAACCAAGTCCTTCTAAAAGAAAAAAAGGCATATCCACAGAATACTATATAGGTCTTTTACATATGTAGTGTGTCTTACTATCTTTCCTCTGGGCTGAGGTGAAGTCAGTAGAGATGGTGTTGGGTGAAATATGGGTTGAGTAACTTTGATGCATAGACAATTGTTGTGTACTCCTCACTTCTCTAAACCGTCTGGAAGAGTTAAAAAGCTTATCCTGTGCTTGGCTGTTTGGTTGGACGGCTATGATGTAATATGTGATATAAGAAAGAAAGAAATGAAAGTTTATCAATTAATACCCACTTTTGTCTCACAATGTTCTGTACTTTATCATTTAACCTTTGATTGTCACTGGATGCTCAAATAGCTGCTCTAATAGTTTTATCTTTGATAGTTTTTCAACAGAAGCTGTGAAGTTCATTTTCAGTTACAGAAATCTATGTACTTCTTGCTTTGCAGTTACCTTTTGTCATGCATTCTCATAAGACATTTAAGATCATTTAGCTGCTATAAGGTTTATATACATTTTTTGTTGTTGTTAATCAGTATTTCAGTTTATGTATTTGATGAATCTGGTAATTACATCTTCATAGTTACACAGATTCAGCCTTTAGCAGAATAGCTTTCAATAACTCAGAGCATTCTGTAAGAGACATTCAGCATGATTCAGGTGCAATGCTTGGTCCTAATTCACATGGGCTCATATTATATGAGAAATATCACATCTTCTTGGGACAAACAAGTAAATTTAACCAAGTAATTTTAAAAGCAACGCAACACACACACCTTTCATCCCAAAAAACACAGCAGAGGGGTTTGACAGTTTTTACAAAATACATATTTGCCTTTAATCGAAATCACTGTGGTTGTGGTAGTCATATTTGTTACAAAGCTTCATCTTTATTCTCTGTATGTTTCTATTCCAGATAATGGAAAGATGGGAGAATCAAGGCAGCCCTCAAACAAGTTTGTCTGCTCCAGCTATACCACAGAATATTCCCTATCCACCCACCCTTCACAGGAGTTCATTTCCTGATTCAACAGAGGCCTTTGATCCACGAAAACCTGACCCCTATGAGCTGTATGAGAAATCAAGAGCTATTTATGAAAGTAGGCGTAAGTAAAAGCCCTGTTCACCCTGATGAGCATTTAATATTTTAAGCTTTTGCCTATGAATATGTCACAGCTAACATAATTTTCCATAATTATGTTTTGTAATTTAAAGCAAGACAATTCTGAACCCAGTTAATATAGGCTAAATTATTCAAAATCCTACCCCTAATACATTTTCCTAGCTCTTGCCTATGTTTTGAAGTTTTTCTTTCACCAATTTGTTTCCTGATATTACCCCTCTTCTCATTTTTACTCTTGGATCCTTAGTGAACAACAGTGAATGTGGCAATGTATTTTTCTGTGCTCTTCTTCATAGTTAACTAAAAAGAGGATATGATTTTCATATGAAATTGTTCCACTTACTTTCACTTTAAGGTGAAGTTTATAAGAGAAATGCTAGATTTATTCAGTTTGTAAAAATTACTTTGACATGTTATGACATATCATGTCCTTAGTGATTAAGAAAAACCTATGCTACTAGCAAGTACTATTTGAAAAGCTATACAAAACAAGACTGGGCTATCAAGATTCCCATCTTAATTTTATTTCTCATGTTTTTAAGGAGTATGCCACATATTTTCCTTAGCAAAGATAAAATGAATTAAACTAATTTAATCCTTACTTTAATAAACACTTTAGCTAAAAGTGTTGTATTTTAAATCATCCAGAGTTTCAGGCTTACATAGGTCAGAATTTCAAAATAGTTTATTTTTTAATAAGAGCTTTTTCATAGCAGTTATTCCTTGCACATACCACCTCTCATTTCGTTGTATACATTTATTTATTCTGTAAATCAAACTTCTTCATAAATTAGATACAAAATATTGCCCTACTGCTAGTTTTCACTAGCTCATTCATTAGCTCATTATGAGACATAAACATAAATCCAAATTTGCATGTTCTGGACAGAACACTCTTCCCAAGTTTACATGGGTATCTTCTGAAGGAAATATGTTATTGTCAATAACATATGTTAGCAATAACAACATATTATTGTCCCAAACTATTCCTTAGTGCCTTAGCCTTTACACTTTAGCTGCAGGATCGTCACCTCCTCTTCGGCCTTGGCTCTCTGTCTGCAGCTTGCCAGCCACGTTGAAGAAACACCAGGATTCATTTTGAAGCTTCTCATGGCCTCTTAATTTCACCTCAGATTCCTCTGTTTGTCACTGTGGCCAATGCCACCATCTTCTGCCATCCCGGCCCATGTAGTGGAACTCCTTCCTGACATTCTCCTCCCTATTCCTCCAAGATGATCAGATTACCTCTGTTGAGGTTGTTTTTTTTCCACAACCCAGCTTAGCTCCCTTTCCTGATGTTCTTCTACCAGCTACATTTTGCTAATGAATCCATTTGATGTCTTCAGAGCTTTTCATGTTTCTCCCTTATCCCTCCCAGAGCCTTTCTCCCTTCCAGCCACTGATGATACCAGTAAGCATTAACTCCAGTCCAGCAATGGCTTGCCCTAGACAGTTTCTATTTCTCTCAGGCAAGGTTCCCTTTTATGTTAATCTCTCCATATGCAACACTTTTCTGGAATAATCTGTATATCTGTGTTGAGATGCATTTTCTATACAATGCCTTATACTGTGTCACTCACATAAAAAATGAAAAAATATGTGGTTTGTGAATATAGATTTTTTGCTGTGTCACTTACGTAAAAAAATGAAAAAATAAGATATGTGGTTTGTGAATATAGATTTTTTTTTCACATGATATGAAAAAGATGGGCCTGAAAAACATGTAATGAAGCAATGAATTAGTAAAAATGGATAGGTAACTTTAATCGATCACATCCATCTCTATCACTCTAAATGTAATATCCTCTGCTATCATGGCCCTTAAGAAAGTTGTAAGAAACTCAGAGTATTTTGGGGAAGAATTCTTCTTGCTAAAGTATGGTAGAATATATTGGGTGACTTGTGCAAGATCTCTGCCATCCCTGACATGTGGGACACAGGAGAGTACAAAAGTGGTTCTACACTCCTGTGTAGTCCAGTATTTTCAAACCTTTGCTTACATAGTAGAGCACAGCAATGCAATTGAGGTGCACCCTCAAGAAATTTGGTAGGCTTATCTCTAAACTCACTTTTCATAGTCCAAACCTTTCTTTTTCTTTTTTCCTTCTTCTTTAGTAGATGCCTGAAATTAAGTTCTCAAGTTTATTTTAAGCACTTAAATAACTTGCTAAGGTTTTTCAACAATACCATGTATCTTATTCCCCCTAAATAAGACCTTAGAATTTACATTCAACCTCCTTTAAAAACACCTAATCTTCAATTATGAACTTCAGTTAGGAACTGAGCTTGCCACTTTATTTAGGAATACCACATGCTGGCTGATATTTTAATACAACAAATATTATGTATTAATGCGTCATTTTTCCCTGTTCCAGAAATTCTCCTTAATTGGACAAGGTCCCCCAAATGATGTTTTTGCAGAATGTACTAGATAAAATGATTATTTCTGAAATTTTGAAGCTCTTTGAAAGGTGGATACAATGTGGAACAGTCCAAAAAGCTATAAAAGAAAGTTATTCTTTCCCCTTCTTTCTCTTTCTCTTGCTTTTGCTCTAGCTTTGCTCTTGCAAGAGCTCTTGCATTTACTCTTACTTTTTCTCTATTTCATGTATTAATGGCTACAATGAAAAATATGTAAAAAGATATTCCAGAACTGAAATTTTTCAAAGCACAATCTTCTGGACTTCCATAAAGGGAAAGGCTTCCCGTATAGACAGTTCATACAATAAATGAAATATTTTAGACAAAAAAGTTGAATTTTCCATTCAGCAGAGGCAGAACAGTATCTTGCAGTTAAAGACACAAAGAGTGGCAAAGTGCAGATTACTGACAGTCTACACTAAAAAGATACCTTAAAAAGACAGTTAAGGTCTAAGAATTGTGGAACCTCCCAGGCCCAAAGCAAGAAAAGGAGGGATGAAAAGCAAAATTACAGTGGGCATTTATCCCAAATTTCCAGCAATGTCCTGATGTTTCAGCTAATCCCAAAAGCTTTAATTCATTCTGACACTGTTTTCCTACAGATGTTTTCTCTAAGCCTTGATAACATCCACAGTTCCCAGCCAGATCCCTTCTGCTTGCTTTCCCATCCCTTGGTCGTAAATAACTGTCACCAAACATCGCTGTTCTCCCTGACACTTTTGTTTCATGGGTGCCAGCAGCACACATTTTAGCAAATTGAATTCATCAAGCCTTTAATTGCTTCTTTTCTCCACATACCACTAACATTATCCTAAGTGAGAGAAACAAGCAGGAAACCTATTAGTGAGTCAAGAAATTGTCGTCTAAATTGGGTATATGGGAAGGAGAGTTTTAAAATAACACAAACTTCATTTCCCACCCATATGGCTGTGTCAGGTTGGTTATCTTCACTACAGACACACTCTTAAAGTGTGCAGAAAAAGTTCAGCTACTATTTTTTTTCTTTGGTATTTTTTGAAGTACTTCTTATCAGAGAGCAAGTTTGCCTTATCTCCTGGCAAGACCCAAAAAGAAAGAATTCATCTTCTAAAGATAAGGCAAAGAAGTGAACAATCCTGACCTGGAAATGCTCAAAAAAGAAAAGAGAGAGTGTTAGATTGCTTCTCGTGCAGTCAGTCTTGGTCATTAAGCAGTTCATTTCAGTGCTGCTGTAGCTCCGCATCCCTGCAGACCCTTTCATCGGCGGAGCGCTCGGCACGCGGGGCTTACACGGGCCCTATCGAAGCCTCCTGCTCCCCTGCCAAGGAGCTGAGAGCATCGTGCCACACTGCGGAGTTGTGTGAGGAGCACAAGTTCGGTGACATGACTGGAGGCAGAGCCAGCAAAAGGATCTGGACCCGATTCACAAGCTTCTGCTCTAGCCGCTGGATATAGTCATTCCTAACTAAAGATAGCAAGAGAGAGGCTCCAAGCATGCAGTTACCACAAATGATCATCTTTTTTTTATGTTGCAGAAACTTTTTGCACCTTAGGCATATGAAAGACCCGTATGACCCTACTTCACAGAGAGATTTCAATTTTTAATGACTATATGTGAGTTACTAAGGATTACTGCTTATCTATTGAAGACAGGTTTTCAGAATCAGTTCTACCAGTACAGCAGACAAATCAAACGATGCATTGGTACAAAAATTGTACTTTATAAGCCATATATCCCTGCAGAGCTGTTGTCACATGCTCTTTCCTGTTAGATGGCAGCTGCCAGATTTGTCACCTGACAGCTACTATCAATGGCCTAAAAGCAGCAGCTAGTGTGCTTTAAAATCTCACTATTTCCAACAACTAGTGGAGGAATCATGCAGGATTCTTCCTTATATCACTGAGGATATCTATCTAAATTTTAAAAGAAGGGAAATTTTGTCTTCCTTCCTTCCCTCCTTCCCTCGCTTCCCTCCTTCCTTCCCTCGCTTCCCTCCTTCCTTCCTTCCTTCCTTCCTTCCTTCCTTCCTTCCTTCCTTCCTTCCTTCCTTCCTTCCTTCCTTCCTTCGCTTCTCTCCTTCCTTCCCTCGCTTCTCTCCTTCCTTCTCTTCCTTCTCTTTGCATTCTTCAAATACATACTTCCTTTCCTCTGTCTGTTTGTTTGTTTGCTTTTACTTACTTTTCCCCAGTAAGGAAAGCCTACCCTTATTTATGCTGTATTTTGGCACACTCAAAAATGGATGAGAAAACCCACTCAAATAACTTTTTTTCTCTCCTTTTTTCCCTCCAACTATTAAGTTTTATTTGTCTTAAAGGCATACCATTCTCCATATAAAAACACTTAAGAGCAGACATGGCCGTGTGACTGGGAAGTGTGACATGGCAGCCAGGGAAGTCGGCTATGGGAGTTGGCATATAGTACATAGGATGAGGAATCTCATGTGCATGAATAACATTACAGAAGTCAGTATGCAGCAGTTGTTGCAGCAATAACTATAGCTCCAATGCTGTCATTGACAGAACTTATTCTCTTGAATTTAGCATTTCTGCTTTAATAAGTTCTCCCTATCCTTTTTTACTCAT